CCAGTGCTGGGATTACAGGCATGCACTACTATGCCTGGATCCTGGGGGTGGGGCTGGCGCAGCATGTGGTGCTGGGGATCGAACAACGGTCCCAATGCTTGCCTAAGCTTGCCTAAGCAGGCGCTTTAGTCCGCTGGGCTATCTTGCTGGCCTGAGTGTATAGCTTCCTAAAATCCAAACTGGGCTTTCTGGAAAAAGTGCCATCAGCCAGGTACTGAAAGAATGTGTAGGGTACTGTGGGCCTGGAAGTCCCTGGGCTTCAGAGTCCTCCAGCAGGGCTGCAGCAGAGTGTTGTCAGCTGAGAAATTCGAATGCTGAAGAAAGAATCATGCAGAAAGAAACTACAAAAAAAAAAAAAAAGAAAGAAAGAAAGAAAGAAACTACCTACTGCTGGCTGTCTTTAAATTAATGCTGTGTTTATTAAACTCATAAATTTTAAAAATGCTAGTTTTTCTTAAACATGCAAGAGCAACTTGGAAATTTAGTTTTCTATTTATAATTCTACTAATTTTTTTATAAAAATAAGAACAATTGCTTTCACTATTCTTTGATTAATATTTAATTAACTCATAAGTTCAACAGATTAAATTCTAAAAATGAATGCCAATTATAAACTTAGATAATTGAATTTCCTAATAGATTGTGTGTTTTTTAAGTGTAGGAAAAATGACTGGGGAACAGGAATGGGGAATAGAAATAGCTCCTCAGAGACAGGTGAGGTCCCGAATGGGTTGCCTGTCCTAATAGACCCTAAACTACATTTCACAGTTGAAATACAGTCACCACGCCGGCCCTGCCCTGGGCACACTGAGCCTGCGATGAGGTTGGGGTGTGGTGGCACACGCCTGTAATCCCAGCACTAGGGAGGCAGAAATCAGGAGGATCACTACAAGTCCAAGGTGCATAGTGAGACCCTGCACACACACACACACACACACACAAAAATAGTCACCAGCCCCTAACCTCACTCCCCTACAGAGAGACTTATACACTAATAAACACATTTTTTTCTGTATCTTTTAAGTAACTTACCAATAGACCGAACTATAAAAAATGTGATGACTGGGCCAGGGAGATGGCTCAGTAGAATAAGTGCTTACTTGGTAAACACAAGGCCCTGAGTTCAATCCCTGGTTCCGCAAAAAAAAAAAAAAAATGTGACGACTGAATGGGATAGCACACTAGCACATGCCTATAACCTCAGCACCGTGGGAGGCTGAAACAGGAGATGAAAAGTTTGACCCAGTCTGGGTAACTTAGCAAGACCCTGTCCCAAAAACTATAATGGAGGCAGGCTTGGTGATGATGCATGCCTATAATTCCAGCACTCAGGAGGCTGAAGCAGGAGGATCGACATGAGTTGGAGGCCAGCCTGAGCTACATAGTAAGTTCAAGACCAGACTGCACTACATAGCAAGATCTTGTTTCAGGGCTGGCCAAATAGCTCAGTGGATTAAAAAAGTGCCTG